GAGTTTAGGCCCAGACACGGCTAGTGACGTCAGACTTAACGACCGGATAGGCCATAAGGCTAACGCATTAGCCGGGGAATCTGCCCTGGAGCCGTTTACCCAGTCTAACCCAGTCTAACCCTAGCCCTAGTCTTTTAATTAGGCCTTATCCACTCACAGTATTCAATGATACACGTCATTGAAAAACTTACAATATGGTGTATTATTTATATAAAATCCCAAAATGTCATGTTGTGGTCAAAGTGTCACAAAAAGTAATTAGATTACTGTTACTTTCCCGTAAACACGCTGCGTTACTAAAACGTGATTTTGTTTGTGAGAGTCTCTCATGACAACGACGTACGAGCGTGCGACGTCTGTGGTAACAGACATGTGCAGATCAACAGTGGATAATATGGAGTGCAGGAGAGAGTATGACCGTGCAGCGTTTACAGCGTGGAAGTAATCACATTACTTTGAGTTTGATTCTGTAAAAAGTGACACAAACATTAGCGTCTGCTGTTCACTCTGCGTGGGAAGAAAACTTCTTTCTACAGCGAAAAATGAAACTTCAAATCTGAGCGAGCAGCGAGCACGCTGCCACGGGAACGTGACAGCCACAGAGAAACCCCCGGATCCCCCCACTGACATGACCGCTGTGGGCAAACCTCCACCCACCCCACTCCTGCCAAACACAGACAATAGATTTAAGAGCTGCTGAGTGTTCGATTCTGTTCATTTTTACTGTGTTTTACTTGCATCTATTTGAAAGAGTGTAAACACAAAACATGATTTTATTTTATTTGCTGGAATATGCAGAACAGGTTTAAATGTTAAACACGTTTCTTCAAGTCAAAGACTGTTGATATCATTTAATGTTTGCTTGATGCATAAAGATAAAATTAATAAAACGTTTTTTTCATTTGATTCAGTTTTGTATGATGGATTATGCAGAAAAAATAGAATTGGGCTTAAAGTTCTGTTGCTTTATTACGTATTCAGGTTATTTTTAAAAAGTAACTAAGTAATAAAGTAACTAACTACTTTTGAATTACCTTTTTCAAGTAACTTGACCGACACCACCTACATGTTAGAACTACAGGAGCTGCTCAGTGAGGGAAACCCTTGCCATGAAGCTCCTAGTGCAGTTTTTGTGCTGATGTTAATGCCAGAGGAGCTCTGGGAAGCTCTGGGAAGCTCTGGGAAGCTCTGGGAAGCTGCAGTTACTGCGTCAGTGGAGTACTGGCGTGTTTTAGACATCATGCACCACAGCACTGGGTGACCTCTCTCTGTAACTTAAGTGGTCTGCCACTTTCTGGCTGAGTTGCTGTGGTTCCTAAACACTTTTACTTCGCAAGGGGGAAGAAAGTTCAGCTGATGTGTAGCATTGGCGTCCTATTACAGTACTACACTCAGTTAGCTCTTTAGAACGACTCGTTTTTCACAGATATTTGCAAACTGCATGATTTTTTTGCACTATTCGGCCACGTGATGCAGTATTGATCAAGTGAATAATGCCACAGTCACACATTTGACTGTGGCATTATTATGTCAGTGGCTAGAGACCAGTCAGTGACCTTCTGAATGGTAAACTGGTTGGTGAAACCCTCTTTACTTTTACCCATCGAGCGGTTATAAGACTGTAAACAATGGCACACAAACAGTAAAGGGAAGTTATTGGCCTTCAGAGTAAAAGCTCTGTTCCACAGTTGCATCTTTTACATTGAAGACAAACAGTCCCTGTCTGTGGTTTGTGTTGGTGCAGCAAGCTGGTAGCATCCAAGGGAATCACCAGAAGGTTTCTGCTGCAGAACTGTCTTTCTGACCAATGTCAGCAGAAGGCCCCTCCAACTCTGGTGACAGGTGATTGATCACACTCTCTTGATCAGTGTGTGCAGGACATGACAATCCTACAGCCCCAGAGAAACCGTGGCATCTCTGGGGCTGTAGGATTCAAAGATTCAGAGGTTTGTACTTTAGTCCGTTTAGTATATGTAGGTTCTAGTAATATGCAACTGTTTCCTGCACATGTAAAATGTGGCAATACAAAGCTATAACTAGTGAAAGTACAGATGCACACTTGTGTGCTTTTATTGTGTGAGCGATACCTGTGTAACAGAAGGCGTCACAGCGAGACTCGGGAAGAGGATATCCTGTCTGGTTTGCGTGAAGATAAACAGTCCGTACCCCGATCAGCCCGCCTCCACACTGTGGCCTACGAATGTTGATGGGATAGCGGACACTCCTGTCTGCGAGCCAGCCAGCGTTGCAGACATCCATCCCTCCTTGCCAGGCCAGGTACAGCTGACCTGTAGTGGCCAGCTGAGCACCCTTATTAGAGCACGCCAACACAGCCTCTGAGAAGGTGAACTTCTCTGCAGTCGCAGTGTAGAAAACTCTGCCTGTCTCAGATAAAGAGCTTTGTGAGAAAAATAAAGAATACAAATCATGAAAGGATGAGTTTAAAATGCATTAAAGTGTACCTGTCATCTTCTCAGCGAAGCAGTAAACATCATAAGTCTCATTGAGATCCCTCACGCCGTATGTCCTGACTCCAGGCAGTTCTACTTTGTCACCATAGCAGTTCATACGAGGACTCTGGATTGGGTACCTGTGGTTAAACAAAGTAATGTGAAGAAGAAAACACTGAAAACTAAACTCATGTTTGCTGCTCTACAGAAGTTTAACATGAGCACATTATGATCTGCTCACATTAGCTTTGTCCTTTCAGACCACAATTCATTGATTTCACGTTTTTCCTTAAATCCACAGTAAAGAGTTTTAAAAACACATTTCAAAGAAGTTGAGAGCAGACTGGAAAATATGTCTATTTTAAGAAAACTCCCAGTACGACGAATTGTATTAACTGCTAAACATGACCAGGAAAGAAAGGAGAGGCTTGGTGCTTCATAAGTGGGAATGGAAAGAAATAATATTTCTCTAAACTATCTAAACTATCCGGTTGTTAAGTCTGACATCACTAGCCGTGTCTGGGCCTAAATAAAGAGCTTTTTGAGATTAAATAGAAGAAAATACAAAACATTAAACATGTTAACAACACAAAAGCCATATTAAACGCAGACTACTTTAGGCCCAGAAGCAGGATTCGTCACGTCATCACTTAACGACCGGATTACAAGTAATTTAGGGATATCATAATCTGCAGTCTTGCAGTCTCTGTTCTAAATTATCCCAAAGTTATCGTATCAGGTTAAGCTCAGGACTCTGTGCAGGCCAGTCAAGTATTTCCACACCAACCTCAGTCATCTTTATTGACCTTGGTTTGTGCACTGCTGCGCAGTCATGTTGGAACAGGAAGGAGCCATCCCCCAAAACTCCAAAATGTCTTGTTATGCTAAAGCATTAAGAGTTTCTTTGACTGGAACTACGGGGCCAACTCCAGCCCTGCACCATAATCCCCGCTCACCAAACTTTACCAGCTCTTAATCAACATTTTTTTGATTAAGATGCCAAATTACAGTTTTTTACTGAACAGAAAAATGAGTTTTAGTCCTATGTTGTTTTGCTTGGTTAATTCTGACCTCAGCGCTTGCTTAAACTTAAATTTAAAAAAGTGAATTTAGCCGTTTTCGTTTTTGGCAGATTTCTCAAATATGTTTCTTTTCTTGCTTTTATGAAGGGCCATGTTATAAATTTTGGAAATAAAACTAGTGAGTAGTTGCTCCTTGGGTGGGTGCTGACCTGACTGTGTGATCAGAGAGCCAGCCAGCGTCACACTGGTGAAAACCGTCATCGTACGCCGCTTGGAGCTGTTCAGGTGAAGCCATTACAGCACTATTCTGGGTGCACGCTGCCTTTGCCTTTTCAAAAGTCAAACTGTAGCGTCCCATGATGGCCCTGTAGTGGAACACAGTGCCTGGAGAGACAAAAAGTGGGATAACAATAAGAAAGAGCGATGGTGCGATGTGACCAAAAAATCCATATAATTTTGGTCCTTTTGTCAACACTATCACATAAAAGTAAAAAATCAAAAGAAAAGGTATCGACTCCTGCCTCGCAGACATCATGTGTCACTCATACCTTGAACCTGGACGTGCACGATGCTGTGGTTGTCCTCGATGTCGTGCTGAACCTCACAGCGATATACTCCCGTGTCACTGGAACGCAGCTCAGATATCCTGATGCTAGCGTCTGTCGGGGTCCCAGGATAACCTATCAGCTGGACTCTGTCCTGGTAGTTCTCAGTGATATGCACTTTCCCCCCCTGGGCAACAATGATGGTTGTGACCTTTTCTTTAGTCACAAAGCTCCATTTGATCCGATGAGACAAGGGGGCGATGGTGGGAGCGCCAGGGTCGTCAACAGTGTGATCCTATGAGAGGCGACATCATTTACAAACATTTTCGAGGGTTTATAGACACAAACATACGTACATACATGTCAGGTAGTTAAAGTAATATGACAGGTTCAATCTAAGCTTCTGTTACTTTATTTGCTGACTAAGCAGCTGTACTGTTGTTTGGATGTCAGGTCTGCTGAGATTACTGATCTATTGCATTCTGTGTAGTGGTTAACACGTGTGCTCCTAACGCTAACGCTGAAGCTAATGATGTCATGGTGGCTAAGGCCTTCTTTTATATGGCACACAAAACAAAGGTGTAGTTTGCCATTTACACACCTCAAAGTAGCACGGTAACGTCAGCGTTTCCCCCAGCAGAGGGCGCTGTGGACCCTCCAGGAGAATGATGACACTCAGTACATCCTCTGGGTCTGTGAAGGTCAGACATGCACACAATGTAGAAAGACAAGACTGCTACACGCCAGTGCTGACTGATGAGGACACTGGAGAGAAACTGTAAGCTGCACTTCTTACCCATATAGGACTGCTGCTCATAAACATCATATGTGGCTGAGGTGACAGTCGCATACAAAGCCATCAGCACTGTCCCCCAGATCATGTTCATCCTAAAAATCAAACAGGAAAATTAGCAGGAACACGACTGTGACTCGAACTCTGTGACTCGAACTCTTCGTCACACTTGGACGCTGATGTTAAATGCTAATCCTTTTTTCTTATGTCCTACCTTTAGAAGTGAAAAAAGAGAACTTAATCTAAACTGTTGAAGAACAGGTCAATTAAAATGAGACCACAAAGGTATTATAACCTCAGTTTCTTACCTCCTGCGGTCCATAGCCTGAGTGTGTAAAACGTGCTGTACTGAGATGCTGTAGCACTACGAGGCTGGTTCTGATCATTTATTCAAATGATAACAGAAAGGTTTCAGGTTCTTCATCTCTGGTAAAGACTATACTTATCATAATAATCCAGTAATACTAAAACTTACACTGAAAATAATAAAATTACACTGAAACAAAAACTACTGCAGCTAATCTGAACTGATGATGGAAATTATAAACCCCCCAAATTTCATGTATAAATACAAAGCTGTAGTAAGTCGTCAGTCCAGTGACCAATATATTCACACAGGTGACCTTTTGATGGGCGGAGCAGTGGAACCGTGCAGGGACTGATTTGTGCGTTTAGAATTTACATGTTTTGTTTGGAGGGAACATTTTACCTTCTTGTCTTGTTTATTTCAGTATTAATAAAGCTACTTTTTGGATTATTCATTTATTTATTTGAGATGTGCCAAATCCCACAAGACTTAACTTTACCTCTAAGATTTTTTTTTTATGTTCGCTGGAAGAGACATTTTGATTTTTAACATACTTTTTTGTTTAAATTTGTATTTGTTTGGCCGAGTGTGTGAGAGAGATAAACACTGGAACGGCCTGGAAACGTGGCTACAGTGGAAAAAAGAAGCCAGTTTCTCTCTGTTTCCCTCCCCACCATTGTGGGGTTTTTATTTAAATAAAATGATTGTTGTTTTCTGAACAGAGGCTGCTGCTGTTCTGAGTAAATGAATCACTGCATTTGCAGCGGGAAAAGGCTGCCGTTAAAACAGCACTATCATTTTTTCTGCTTCTCTTAGTTCAGCCAACATTATTAGCAAACTTGCTCATGAGCCAAATAAATAAATAAATGGCTCTTGTATAAACGATCGGTGAAAGGCTCAGCCTGTCCTTAAACCTTAAACTGGCTCACATACAAATAGACATTTGATATTTTCTACTTTAATTATTTACTCCGTGCTTCATGTTTTGTCCTGGTAAACTGTTGCTTTTGGCTTTTTGGAGGAAGTTGGTGAACAAATGGGCAGTAACTGCACGATCTGATTGGATGTCCAAATTTAGCACAGAATTTCACATAATGCTTTTTTTCTTTCTTTCTTTGAACTCTTGAAGCTGGAGGGTCGATGTCTGGACTAAGTGACAGCTCATTAGCACTGAGTTTGTGTGAGTGGTGCTGGTGGCCAGCTCCACACTGCATTCATTCAGCCGCTGTGGTAAGGTCCACTCCCACAGAGACTGGGCCCATAAGACCAGATCTGTTCCCCGTGAAGCCTGTGTTATGGCAGCTCTGACGACACCAGGGCTGTGTAAACAGCACAGCGTAGATTCCAGAGTCCGCCCTTTCCATCACGTCCTAACACTGCTCACATTCAGGCTGGAGACCGGAGTGCGATGTGATGGAGGGAGGCCAGTCAGGCCTTTGATCCTGGACAACGACTGAATTTATATTTCTTTAAATGAGGCAAAACGTTCATGTGATGGTGTAAAAATGTCATGTTTGTCACAGGTGATGACTGTGTTGTTCAACCATGGGAGGAAATTAAGGTGTGAGATAGGATGGCTGAGCCCCAATACTGTGCTCTTCAGTGAACTAGCTAACGTTAAGCAATGTTCAAATATGGACTCAGAGTTCTGCTTCCAGGTATAGATGCATACAAGATGGTTTGGCCCACCACCCACCACTCTGCTTTACAAAGTCAACAAGGACAGTTTAAAATCCTTTTCCTGGTTACTTTTCTTTGACCTTAATGCTAAATGCTAATTGTAAAGGCTGCAGCTTCAGACAGATGCTGAATTACAGTAAACAATAAAAAAGGAAGAATTGATAAGTTTGATAATATTTTTGGTCTAAATGCTCTTTCATTTGCATAAAAGCAAATGTAACAGGGTCATAAATCACATATTGTTATAATTACACAAAATGTGTTCTAAACCCCCAAACTGTTCCTTTTATACCTGACTTTTAGGACCTACAAGCCTGTAGTTATGTTCATTATCAGTTAGAGCCCCTCCTCATTCTTTGCTTCTTCTTCTTTGGTGCAATCCTTTAAATACAATGTACCACTTTTGCCTCTCCCCTTTTCTACAATTCCCCTGTGGGAGAGGAGCTGGAGTAGGCAAATTATTTACTTGGAGGTCTTTCTTTCTTTACCTTTTTTATCAGACACAA